ATATGGATCCCTAACTTTTCAGTCATGGCAAAACCCCTCTATGAAGCCACAAACGGGGGGAAAGGAGATCCTCTGATGTGGGGGCCAACTAAGCAAAAGGCCTTTGAGGACATTAAACAAGCACTCACCAGTGCACCTGGATTAGGACTCCCTGACCTCACAAAGCCTTTCTTTCTGTATGTCCATGATCAGTCTGGAGTGGATATGGGACTTTTGACTCAGATGCTGGGGGACATGGCACCGACCAGTGGCCTATTTGTACAAACAGCTGGACTCTATAGCCCAGGGCTGGCCACCTTGTTTACAGGCCCTTGAAGCCACAGCTCTTCTGGTGTTGGAAACTGATAAACTGGCCATGGGATCAGAACTGGTTGCCAGAGTTCCTCATTCAATTTTGACATTGTTAAAATTATAAAGGACACTATTGGTTGACTAATGAAAGAATGGTCAAATATCAGGGTATGTTATGTGAAAACCCACGTATCTCTGTTGAGGTCGTCAGAACTCTAAACCCAGCAACTTTGCTGCCCATTGGACCTGGAAAACCTGATTACAAATGTGTTGAGGTCATGGATGAAGTGTTCTCTAGCAGGCCAGACCTAACAGATCAGCCTCTCAAAGACGCTGATGCAGAGTACTTCACAGATGGAAGCAGTTTTATAAAAGATGAGGTATGTTTGGCTGGATATGCAATGGTCACTCTGGACTCTACTATCGAGGCAGAATCTCTGCCTCAGGGAACTTCAGCACAAAAAGTAAAACTTATTGCTTTGACTCAAGCACTTCAGTTGAAAGCAGGAGTCTGTGTGGATATTTACATAGACTCAAAATATGCGTTCGCTACTCTTCATGTTCACAGGACCTTATGTAGGCTAATTAACTAAGGAGAAAAAAAAAGGGGGGGCATGATGTATGGGCAAGGAATTCTTAAACTTTTGGATGCAGTGTGGGCTCCCAGGAAGATTGTGATTATATATTGCCAAGGTCATCGAAAAAACACTGTGGTTTCTCAGGGCAACTGGAGAGCTGACAGAGACGCCAGGTTAGCTGTCTGCAAGAAACAGGAAGATAATCCAGTCCCAGGTTTAAATGCTGCCCTTCTGCCTGGCTGACCATCTAACAGAATGGGAGCCAACATACCCTCAACATAAAAGTAAGTGATATAAGACTGAACAAGAAAATTTTCTCCCAGGTGGATGGTAGATATTTTCTGATGGCCGGCATAACCATCCCGGAGACTCTAGCCCCAGCCTTTATCAGACAGCTTAGCAGGAAAACATGTTGGATATACAGCACTTGAGACAGTTCTGAGTCAACATTTCTATGTCCCCTGGCTCACAAGCATCACCTGGATGATCTGCAAACAATGTGAGGTTTGTGCTCACAACAATCCTTGTCAGGGGCCAGAGCTCCCACCAGGAATCCAAACTATAGGAGGAGCACCTTTTGAAGACTTGGAAGTAAACTTCACTGAACTACTATGCTCACAGAGCTATAAGTAACTTTTGGTTTTTGTGTGTTCCTACTCTGACTGGGTGGAAGCCTTTCCTACCTACACTAAAAAGGCTAGGGAGATACTAGGATGCTTCTCTGTGAAATTATTCCCAGATCTGGTGTCCCAATAACTATTGGCTCAGACAACGGGCCAGCTTTTGGGCAGAAGTGATATGAATACTGACCACGAGTTTAAATATCAGATGGAAGTTACATACTTCCCATAGGCTGCCAAGTTCTGGTAAAGTTAAAAGGATGAACAGGACTTTAAGGCTCAATTGGGTAAACTGTGTCAGGAGACTCACATTTTTTATTAATTTCTCCCTATTACACTGTTGAGGAATAGATCCACTCCCACTAGGAGGAATGGATTCTTTTCTTTTGAGATAATATATGGGATGTCCCCTGCTCTTATTAAGGGACTACAGGGAGACTTCAGAGAGATAGGAAAATTAACCCTGAGACTACAGCTTCAGGTCTTAGGGAAAACTTTACAGGTTCTCAACCAATGGGTTAGAAAAAGATTGCCAGTACTTTTGACCACAGGTGCACACTCCTTCAAGCCTGCAGATTGAGTCTGGGTCAAAGAATGAAATATTCAATCTCTGAACTTCTTTGGAAGGGCCCTTTCACTGTTATTTTATGCATCCCAACTGCAGTCAAGTTTGCAGAAATAGGTCCCTGGATTCACTACACCAGACTCACGCCTGTAGCTGAGGACTGGGCTTACTCTCCAGATGCTGCTACGCCCTTGAAGCTGACCATCCCAAAGAAAAAGGAGCACCAGAGAAGCTTGAGGATCAGAAGGACAACAGCCCTGCTCCAGTCAAACCCAAAGCTGACTGGTCTACACAAAGCTGAAGCTTGAGGAGACTAAGGCCCTGATTCAGCCACACAGGAGGGACTGGCTGATCAATGCATAGTGAAAGATAAACTTCCCACCAGGACTAATGAACACTTTCAACCTCTGAGATAGTTCTTATACTATAATGCATTGCCACCCTTGCTTCTAGATATATACATAGTTCTCTGTTTGGTTTTTGCTACTGGTTTGATAACAGTAACTCCTACTGACTGGACTCTGGGTAACAAAATTTCACTTATACTTTTTTATCTTCCTTATAAAAGTTCTCTAGGATTTGTTTGGTGTTATTAGTTTGGCTTTGTTAATTTATGCTGTTTAACCCATGCTAACCAAAATGTTAGTCTATTATTTAGTTTGGTTTCCTTTGATAACCTTAAGGGATTCTGCCCTACTCCTATTCCAACCATGGAGATCATGTAAACCATGTGTCAAGACAATCCACTATAACTAAGAGGTGGTAAAACATATATTTAGGATCTGTCCCACCAGAGGAATGCTATAGATGGATGACTGTTTGGAAAGGAAAAAGAAGTCCATTGGAAAGAAACTTGATTTAGGAGGTCACCAACCTTGGGGTGAAGGTAACTGGCCACCCCAGAGGATTATCGCCACTTATGCTCCTGCTACCTGGACACAAAATGGCAGTTAGAGTTATAGAACTCCTATTTACATGTTAAACAGATTTACTCACTTAAAAGCTGTACTAGAAATTAATCAGACTCCCACAGTCTTTGACCTCCTTGCCACAAAACAGACCAGATGCTAGTGGCTAACTATCAAAACCACTTGGCATTAGATTACCTACTGGCTGAGGAAAAAATATATGTGGATAGTTCAACAGCTCAGATTGTTGCATCCAAATGGATGACAATAGACAGTTAAGAATATAGCCAACAACACAAGAGAACTAGCACATGTCCTAGTTCATACCTAGAAGGGCATTAAAGTTTGGGTCCCAAACATACCTTTGGGAGATGGTTTTCAACTCTTCGTAGATTTAAAAGCTTAAATAGTATAGTGGGTATTCTGCAGCTAACCTGTTTATTGCTCCAATGTTTCGCTCCACTGTGCATTGAAACTACTGGGTCCACTATAGAAGCTGCTGTTGAAAGGATGACAACAACTAAGGTTCTGATATTGTATAAGGCTTTAAGCCAAGATAATGGCAATGATGTTCTTAAATTTAAAGGATTAAATTATGGGGAGCATCATTAAAGGGAGAATTGAGGTGGCACACCCTTTCTCCTCAGAAAAGACTTAACTGGGCTTTTCCAGAAATATTCACCCAAACTTATTTTAGGACTGTCAGCAAAAGAGTCTCGGCAAAAGAGTTCATTGTAGATAGACTTACTATTTTCCTGTCGCCCTGTTTTACTTAGCCACTGGCCGAGAAGATACCAGCACTCCAGGTGCTGGACACCCCCTTACTAGTTTTTTGCAAACATATCCAATATAGTACTTTGAAGCAATGTGCAAACAACGCCTCTGACCTTGAGTTGGGGATTCACAGAGATGTCTGCATTTTTAAAATAAGTTACAAATGGGCTCCATGGTAACAGCTGTCAGTGGGAGCAAAGAAAGGGGAGAAGAAGCTCTCCCCTTCTCAGGTGTTGTCCTTGAAGGGTTAACTTGCCCAGAACAGTGAAAGAAAAAGCTGCTTTGATGTGAACTTCTGCAGATTGTGAACTTCTGAGCTCCTCCCCTTATATTCTGGGTATAAAACTCTGAAACTCCCTGAACTTGGGGTTCAGGGGATTAATTGATTATAGCAAAAGCTGCCTTCTGAACCTGGCTGCAGCCAAATAAAACTGTTTCATGCTATCTTCAGTGCCTTGCCTCATTTGTCCCTACAACACATCTTGTCCCTGTGACCAAAGTTAAAGGAAGGCTGAGGTGGAAAACCATTTTCACATTTTAGAAATCACAAATCACAGGATCACTCAAAATTTATTGGAAAAATAAACTTAAAATGTTGGTGAATTTAGTTTCTTTGCAAGTACTATTGTCCTTTATATTAAAAAAGAAAGTTAGGAGATGATGTTTATTGGGTACACCTTGTCCTAATTTGACCATATACCTGCTCAACGTTGCCAAAGTTTCTCCTAAAGATTTCCAAATAGAAGCGTCAATATCTACTTTGCTATGTCACATGCTGTGTGTTGTTGGCCAAAGGCAGAGTTGAGATGCTGTCATTCTTTAGACTGTCATGGTACAATTGAGACTCAGAATAGTTGACACATTTAGTAGTTCAGCTGAGAGTCCAGGGTAGGATGGGAGGCTCACAGTCTTATGATCTGCAGATATGCTGCTTCCATAGAAGTAAATCCTCATTGTTTGGAACAGCCAGCCCACCAATATCATAGAAGTCTTTCAAACTTCTCAGGTTTACAATTAATGAAAGTGAAATATATCCCAGAGCCCCCTTAAAGCAGTGTTGCTTAACCTGGGCTGCACTTTAGAAATATACCAGGAGTTTAAAAACAAAACTGACAATTTGGCTATCCTAATCCTCCCAGCCAATTAATTTGTGATCTCTGGGAAGCAAGCCTATCATTCAGATAGTTTTCCAGGTGTTTCTGCTCTGCAGCCATGTTTGAGAATGATCATCTCAGTGTGAGTAGAGACTGGATTAAAACGGCAGCTGCTGCCGGCTCTGCAGCCGCTGCTGTCTCTACCACCTGCTGTCCTGGGCCCTCAGCCCAGGATTTAGTCACCATTTCTTCGTTACCCAGCGGGCCCATGGTCCCTCCTGGATCCAGGTTGGCGGGCCCGGCGGTTCCAGCGTGGTGAGAGTGAGGTCTGGGGACGATGAAGGCCCTGCAGTGCTGCTGCTGTCTCCGCCGCCTCCTGGCCTCCTTCTTCCTCCTGCTGCTTCTGCCAGCGCTGAGCGGGCCGCTGGCGGTGTGGTTGCAGGCAGCCGAGGCCGCGCAGGGCCCCGGGCCTCCAGACCCTGGCCAGCGGACCTTGCCGCCGCTGTCCCGGGGCCCCACAGCTGCCCAGCCACCGGGCCATGCTCTGGCTGAAGCCTCAGGACCTCGAGGCACCGAAGGCGGCAATGGCAGCAGCCCCGGGGCGGGGCTTGCAGCAGAAGAAAACGGAGGAAAGGCCGGGGAAGGCTCAGTGGGTGGCGGCCTTGCCGTGAGCCCCAACCCTGGAGACAAGCCCATGACCCAGCGGGCCCTGACCGTGTTAATGGTGGTGAGCGGCGCGGTGCTGGTGTACTTCGTGGTCAGGACAGTCAGGATGAGAAGAAGAAACCGAAAAACCAGGAGATACGGAGTTTTGGACACTAACATAGAAAACATGGAATTAACACCTCTAGAACAAGATGATGAGGATGATGATAACACATTGTTTGATGCCAATCATCCTAGAAGATAAGAATGTGCCTTTTGATAAGAAGATTTAATCCTTCTACAGTGAAAAGCAGAGTCTGTTTAAGGAATAAGAAGCCACTATATCAATGGGGTGAGGGGTATTTAAGTTCATACATTATGATAACCTTTATTTTGTTGTTGCTGCAATAAATACTGTATCACTTTGTTATGCCATTGTATGTACAGAAGTGCTCTATTAATGGGCTCAGTGTTGTTAGGGATAAACTATATTGTAATAGTTTATCTGTTTGAAAATTACTTTAAAACTCCATGTTTCTGAAGAGTTTTTGTTTATTGCTTACCATATTATTGTAAATTGGTTTTTTTTATGTACTAATCAGTTAATGTTAATTTTTTTTTTGCGGGTATCATTTTATAGAGCCCTAACCCCCAACAAGCAACTGGTGTGTAAAAATAATTAAAATTTTCCTTTACTGAAATATATTTCCCATTTTTGTGGGAAAATGAAGCCAAATTTATTATGTGTTTGGGTTTTTAAAATATTAATAAATGTCTGAGTTATTGTATGCAAAACAATAAATGTGATGTAAAATTCTTTTAATCTGGTACAGATAATATGTTCACAAAATAAACCTGAAGATCATAGAACTACTTTTAATATATGTAAAAAAAAAAAAAAAAAAAAAAAAAAAAAAAAACAAACAGAATGAATCCATAGGAATTAATGAAAAGTCTATTTTTTTTAAAAAAAAGCTCATACTCCTACCTATAATTCTGGCTTATACTTTATGTAACAAAATATTAGCAAAATATTGACCCAGGTGGCAAGGGAGAAAGCAAAGCTACATTAGTGAATAAACAACAACAACTCCCAGGGAAATGATGAATTTTCTTCTCTCAGCATTCCTCATCTTCCAACCAAATCCAGCATCCTCCAGTAAGACAGTTGTATACTCAAAACCAAATGATGAGGGTGGGGAGGGGAGAGGGAGTGACTGAGTTTGATTCTGTCCTCAACAACAACAATTGCAACATGTTTTATTGTTTATAAAAGAACAGTGTCTCCAGATACACATGCACACACTTTTATGATGTTCTGTGCTCTCTCAGAATCCTCAAGCTCTTGTATCATCTATGAAGAACCCCACGTTTGATTACTTTAGTAGCCTGTTATAAAATACCTACTGAGGGTCAGGCATGCACTTTGCTCTGAGTTAGTAGACAATTAAAACCACAGACACACTCACAGAACACCCAGGAACGCGAAGGTACAAGCAACAAGTTTTGGTGCAGGTCAGAGCCTTCCCTGTGCTAGGCCAGCAGGACAGTTCCCATGTGCCCTGGTCACAGTGGCATCTGAGTCCACAATTTGACCTCGTCTTGTCCATTTTGTAACTCCCAGAGCGCCTTGCCCTATCAACTTCCCAGTAAATGCTCAATCAATAAATAGGTTAAAAATGATGAATATCATCATTTTTCATGAATTTCATGAATTTTAATGTTTTCTTCTTTTTCTTTAACCATTAATAATAGAGGAAATACTGTGATGGCCAATTTAGGTGACATTTAGTGCTTCTGACATCCATCTCTGAATTACAAAATTTTCTTGCTCTATTAAAAAATAAAGATTATTAATAAATTAATTAATAACTAATTAACTAATTAATTAACTTCTATATAATTTTATATAAAATAGATAACAAATATTATTAATATACTAATATAAATATTAAAAAATCATGACTAGGTTTTTTTGTGTGAGTTGAATTTTTTTAGTTGTAGATGAACACAATATACTTATTTATTTATTTTTATGTGGGGTTGAGGATCAAACTCAGTGTCTCACACATGCGAGGCAGGCCCTCTACCACTGAGCTACTGCCCCGGCCCCTTGTGTGTGTGTTTAACATGAATCTGTGCCAGGTGTAAAAGAAAGAAACACCACCACAAGGAACTGTGATAGACACATTACATAAATGATATTATTTTATTTATGTTACTTATTATGTTTATTCTTTACAATCTCAAATTATGCAGTCATTTACAGCAGCCTATAAAGTTTGCTATCATTAGTAGTATTAGTGGTATTAATATTTATTATGATTATAGGGAGTTGGTATCCAGATATTATTACATAAGACCATTATCTTTTCTACACTAGCATTTCCTCCTAGAATATTTATGCTTTAAAAAACAGAATAAAAGGGATGATTTCTGTTCAAATAATTTTTTGAATGCCTCCATGAGACAAATTTAAAGACGTTCTCTTATTACAGAATATCTTAGGGATTTTAAATGCAAAATCCTCTGAAACTCTCAAATATTGTGAGAGTTATGTTACTTCAACTGATTTGTTCAAGGAAAGTTTTGCTGCCATGAGCTTCATTTGGGAACACTGACTAGGTACAAACCTGTTATGTAGTATGCTTTATACTAGACTCTTTTGTGGTCTCCAAAGCTGTAGGGGAGTAGGGTAAAGGCAAGTACCCGTCTTAAAGGTGGCATGTGGCCAGTGTTCTCAGACAGAAATAAAAGCTAGAGAGGTTGAGAAAAAGAAGTAAACATCTCTTCTAGCTGCTAGGAGAGGCTGCCTAGGAAATGTGACATTTCCTAGGAAACTTAGCATGGTATCAGTTTCCTCCCAGGGCCCCACACTCCAGACTCCACCACTGGCAAACTTAGCTGCAGTTTCTGATCCCTGGGAAGTTTTTTAAAAATGCTAATACCTATTCCCAGAGTCTGATTTAGCTGATCTGGGGTGTAACCTAAACACTAGGATTTTTTTTCAATGTGTCCAAGTGATTTAATGAGCAAACAGAGTTGGAATCACACTGTGAATCTTGGCAAAGTCTTATCCAGAATAAAGAACTGATGCTTTTCCCTGCATCAATTCTTAGGCCAGGCCTCTCTTCTGTTTTCATGGTCAAAAACCATAAATAGCCAGCTGTAGATTTTAACCTTATTTATCTCTATACCATTTTCTAGCTACTTCCAGATTTGCTTCCTTGTTTCATATTTTTCCCTCCAGGGGTATGCCTAACAATTAAAATGAACTGTAGACTTATTTCTGAACAGGGATAACCAAGCCCTTGACATCAGCCTGACAGAATTCACATATCTTCATCAGATTTCTAAACTTAGATAACATGCCCAACTTTTAAATCCTCAGTTCCCTCATTTGTAAAGCAGGGTTAATACTAATACTAGACCCTACAAGTTTGTTCTGAGGATGATAACAATTTAACTGTGGGAGCCCCAGGCACAGTGCTTGCAGTAAATGTTAGGTATTGTTGACATTGTCACCATCATTATTTTATCACCTTTTGTCAATCAACTTGTATCCTTTTATGAAATTCAGACACAAACTTGACAGGAGCCTGTTAGGAGCTGGAAGCTTAAGTATACAAGCTTTTATTAAGTCTATAAAATCTCAGGTTCCTTCCAGAGCCACATTTTTTTCAAGGTGAGTTGTTTGTACCACTGAACTGAAGGTGGAGCAACACTTCCTTGGTTCCTTGGCTCTCAGCCTTGGCTGCAGATTAAAAATCATTAGAAATCCACCCCAGACAAGTTAAACCAGAATTTCTGGGAGTGAGACTCAGTCATCATTATTTTTATAGTTTTGTCAGTGACTCCAAGTGCAGCTAAGGTTGAGAAACTAATTTAGGTGCAGAGGCTACCAGTAGCCTCCAAAGTCTTAGGTGACCTGCCCTAGGCCCCTTCCTTCCTCTGCCCCTTCCCTCTCACTTCTCCCTCTCTTTTAAACTCGCTCCTTCTGCTACTGCAGCCAGATTCTACTTTCCTTCCCATCCCATTTATATGCTTACTCTGTCCTCAAACTTGCTTAGGCTCAGATTTTGAACTTAAACTTGACTACTGATATTCAGCTACACCAGAGTTCCAGAGTCCTACCCTTTGCCACTTCCCAGAAGTGTCCCCTCCCCTGTGATTACAGCAATTTTTGATATAGCCTTGTCGCCACCTACAGTCATGTCCTTTACTCTAAAATCCGCTAAAGGGAAGGGTCTGTATCTAATTTGTTTTATTATAATTTCCACTAGGTAAACTTTTATAGACACAGAAACAAAGAATAAAACCTTAAAATAAAAAAAGTAAAGTTTGTCCACAAGTATTACCAAGAAGATGGATGGCGAGTCCTTCATTGTACAGCTTTCAGAGTTCTTTTACTTCCGCAGTCAGGTGTGGTTCTCACAACAGCCTTTTAAAGTTTTCTAAGCCCAGTTCTCACTCAGTGAGGATCACGGAAGCCAAAACTTGCCTGTGAATGAATAGCCAACAGGCAGCCACGCCAGGTCTCAAACATGTTCCTTGGGATATTTAAGGCTGCTTCTATCACATCCTACTCCCAGGAGAACTCCACAGTGTGGTTGCTGGGACTCTGTGTCAGAAGAGTGCCAACTAATGAGAATAAAGTAGGGCCATGGAGAGCTGTTCTTATTCCTGCCTTTGCCTAATTTTGTGGTGAAGGAAGCCCTGGGGCTCCTGAAACCTAGAAGTTTTATATTATACCAAAAAAGGGGTGTGTCTGGGACTTGAATTGATTTCTCTTTAGTACTCTGCACTTTCTTTGTTCAAGAATAACTAATTCTGAGTCAGGCTTCTGTGCAAAGCACTGTTATGGTATTGGCCTGGATGATGGGTTTCTGGCAATGTCTTTGGCTTGACCATGAGCCTGTTTCCTCTTTCTGAAGCCAGTTTAGCATTAGGGGAATGGGGAGAAGAAGACTGCCTGTGTATAACAGGAAATCAATAGATGCAAATAACACAGAGAGATGCTCATCACTTATCTTTCAAGGGCTTCTAGCTAGTGAATGATAAAGCAAAATTGACAAAGCAACAAACCATGTCTGATAAAAAAATAAATAAATAAATGTGCTCGTGTCTTCATGATGAATGCTCTTTTGAACATAACACAAATCCAAATTTTTAAGACATGAACAAAACACTTATTGAACTCAGTTATTCTCTCATTTTGTTATAGCTAATTGGTAGTTCTTTTTTTAATATTTTAGTTGGACACAATACCTTTATTTTATTTATCTTTATGCTGAGGATTGAACCCAAATCCTTGTACATGCTAAGCAAGCACTCTACCACTGAGCCACAATCCCAGCCCCCCAATTGCTACTTCTAATAAAATGAAAAGCTCAGAGTCTTTAGTCAGAAACTATTTCAATTGCCCCTTTATATCAATAGCAGCTTCCATGTCTTTCTAGTCTAGCACAGCTTGTTGTTTGTCTTAACCCTAAGCTAAGGCATGAGGGCAGGTGATATGTTGCACACTTCTTTGTGTCACAGTAAAACCTTATTCATGATTTGTGTATTGTACACACATATATTAGATGCTGAATAGTTTTAACTGATGTGAAAACCAATTAAATAATTAAAGAGATCTCTTGCCTCTCTTCCAATGCCTAAAATGGTGCTTGGTATTAAGTGGGCATTCAGAGATTATTAATGAATGAATATACAATCAACTACGAATATTTTTTTGGTAAACTGAGTTTGCTTTTCAAATTTATTTAGCCAATTCTGGAGATTGAAAAACATTAAATTTACCAAGTAAAAGCACAGCCATGCTATAAATAAGTGAATAAGTGTTAAGCCTTGGTATTTATCATGTTTCC